GAAGAAGTGTTAATTAGAGTCAGTGAGCAGAGGAATATCCTACATGAAATAAGAAAACGGAAGGCTAATTGGATTGGTCATGTTTTACGCAGAAACTGCCTTCTAAAAGAAGCTATCGAAGGAAAGATAGATGGGCGGATAGAAGTGACAAGAAGACGAGGAAGAAGACGTAAGAAGATGCTGGATGACCTTGGGGACAGAAGAGGATACTGTCATTTGAAGGAGAAAGCTCTAGATCGCATGAAGTGGAGGAATTGTTTTGAAAGAGACTGTGGACCTGTCGTCTTGACAGATTACTGATGATGATGATGATGATATTTTTTTTTCCCTTGGCACTACAGCCCCAGTGGGCCTAGGCCTACCTCCATGAACTTCTCCGTTCACTTCGGTTTCTCTTGATCTTACACATTAGGTAGGACTCCTTGGGTGGGTGATCAGCTCGTTGCGAGGCCTCTACTATACGGTTATATATCTTCAATAAATATTGTTTCACATTTTGGCAGGATGTTATAAAAAGTAATTGTTGCATGATATATGTAGGAGTATTAAGTTTTTTATGTCATTACAATAAGTAATGAACCATATGAAATGTTTTTTCTTTAGTTTGAGGTTCTTTGTACATCCCTCCCCTCCACTTCAGTTCTTGAATCAAGTGACTGATATTCACTGAATTTTGTATAACTGTATAGTGGATGCACAAACACGCGGATTGGGAATAGCACAAGCACCATTTAATCTTGGGTCCTGAAGTGATATACTCGTATGATACTGCACATTTGAAAAATATATATTTTTGGTTACATCACTCTATGGTGATAAAATCATCTTGGCAACTGGTTGCATCAGTCTGGAGTCAAAATCCAATATTTTGGAGACCTCTGTCTCCATCATTATGGAAAGATGACATAAGACTACAGCATCCAAATTTTTAGGGTTAGTGAGAAATATTGTGGAAGGAAGCAGATGTGGCTTAATTTGAGGTATTATTCCGGTATTTCCCTGGAGGGACACAGTGAAACAGTGATAAACCTTAGGATAGGCTGGTTGCTGGGCCATGATTTGAACCTGGGATCTCACAGTTACTGAGCAGGAGTGCTACTCACTTGACAGTGACATTTAGTCAGAGAGTTCTTCTTAAGAAGTTGGTGGCTACTCTGTTTAACATGATAACCCCTGCTTTCTTAAGGAACCTCAGGGCTCATTACCAAGTTCACATGAGCCTGCTACTGTCCCCTATCCTGAAGAAAATTAATATCCTTTACACAGATTTTTGAGACCTTTCCAATAAAGTATTTTATATGTACAGATTGCCTGGCAGGCAAAGTTGTGTGGATCACTGGAGCCTCTAGTGGGATTGGAGAGCACATATCTCTTGCATTGGCACGTGCAGGAGTAAAACTTGTTCTGTCAGCTCGAAGAGAACATGAACTGGAGAGAGTCAAGCAGAACTGTCTCAGTGAGTTGGTTGCTCATTCTATGTGACATATTTAAATTAACTTGGAAAAAATTATCTGATCAGATTCAGTTTGTATTGGATATCTGTATTTTAACCCTGCAACTGCTAGGTATCAAAAGTTGTGACTGTATGTAAGTGCCTGTGGTGTCTGAGTTGAAAAATTCAGGTGTTAAGAAATTGATATATCTTACAGCAAATGACATCTGTTGGCATTTCTTCTGAACTATGTAGTCAGTAAACATTGGGGAATTTGTTTCTCCTGCATTTGAAGTTCTTAGGGATCCCTGAAAGAATAGCTCTCACAACCCAAAATGGTGATTTGGCACTGCAGGAATTAAAGGCGGTACATGTGGTGTTAGAGAGTCTGCAATGTTTCAGAAATTGGGAAGAATCTCACAGAGGAAGACATTTTAATTTTGCCAATGGACATGACGGCAGTGGAGAACCACAGTGAATGCTTCCACCAAGTCATCAGTCATTTTGGACAGGTAAATTTTTATCACTTTGAGGATGTTTCAATTGTTTATGATTAATTCTCCAGGTGTAGAAATCAACTTCTCTTTTTCCAAATTAATGTGCTTTTTGCATTAGATTTTATGTTTTATATTGCTTCACTCATTCAAGAGTCACCATTTTTCAGCAGATGAAGCTAAGAGCTTGTAGCACTGCTGGATTGTGCTCTGCACTGCATTGAGCACTGCAGTGTAAGGGCTGGCATTTCTTTTCATTTTTAGAGGTCCCCAGTTTAATTATAATTCAGTACATAAACAACATCATATATTTCAGTTGGACATTCTAGTTAACAATGCTGGTCGATCGCAGAGAGCCAACTGGGAAGACATTGATCTGGCTGTCGACAAGGAGATGTTTGACCTCAATGTGTTTGGGGTGTTGTCTCTGTCTCGTATAGCAGTGAAGTACTTCATGAAGATGAAAGTAGGACACATTGTTGTAACATCAAGTCTTGTTGGTGTGAATGCAACACCATTCCCTTTCTCTGCCAGTTACGCTGGTGCTAAGCATGCACTTCATGTGAGTACAACATAGACCTGAGTTTTCCAAGAATCATTTCACTAACTACTAACAATAACTAATGAACCATTGTGGAGGTAGTCATGTGAAATTTGTTATGGAGATAATGATAAATGTACCTAAACACTGTGTGAAATATCGTACTGCTTGTAAGTTAGCAATTTCAAACATGACAGTGCCACAGATCATTGATGATATATCCGTTTATGACACATAATCTGCATCAAGTAAATTTTCAATACAGAGATCAAATAAAATATAATAATAATAATAGTAAATAATGGAGCTGTAAGCTAGAAATCTGTGGAGTAGGAAGATGTAGGCTGTGTAGGTTACTGTCTTCTGGGATATATTGCTGTGTTCACTGATAGATACTTATAGGTACCTACATTGTATCTGCCTTTTGGACGGAAGAGTATGATAAGTGCGGAAAACATGGTACAGACATATGGAGAGACAATACTGGGGCATTTTCCACAGTAGGCATACTGTTCTAGCTTGAAGATGGATAAAGTACATTCCTCCAGCAGTTGGTAAATATTGACTAGACAGTAATCTTCACAATCACCACAATGAAAACCTGAAATCTCACAGGCATTATGAGTTTTGCTCATATATATTGCTTCTTGCTGGAATATACTGCCCACTTAATACTTGTGGGATGTGATGTTCAGAGTCCCCCCGTTAGGTGGTTCTGCATCATAAATGGAGTCCTTCAGCAGGTCACGAAGGTTTTGCAGCCAATAACTAGAGGCATTAGTCACAGGAAGAGAAAAAGAACTGATGGAGGCAATTTATTGGACTGCTTTCTGTTGTACACCTGTTCAAACTTGGAATAGTCAGTGGCCCCACCTGTGAAAGGTGCAGTGACAAAGATGAAAATGGCCTCAAATGCCTTATGTGACTGTGAGACTGTATATGAATTAACATTTCATCACCTGGAGCTCCATTTAATGAAGAAAAATGACTATCCATGGCCCTTTATATGCTTCATTCAAAGTGGAGGACTACTAGAGGGCTAAACTTAGAAAGACAATATATGATAGATCAGAGATGGTTGTGGTGCAAGGGACATGTAACACCCACAGTTTTACTGTAATCTAATTAACAGCAGCAGCAGCATACCTGAGGAGGCTAGATGGCTGTTGATTTCTCGTAACTGAAGTCACACCTCTGTTTACAGGGTTATTTCAATGCGCTGCGCTCAGAAAAAATACTGAGCAACATAAATGTAACACTGTTGTGCCCTGGACCAGTGTTCAGTAACTTCCTTGCAGAGAGCTTCACTGACAGACCTGGGGAGGTAAGTTACACACTTGAGTCATGACATGATATAGGGCAATAAAAAAGTACATTAATTTGGAGTAAGTTCAATAGCTTTCATTTTACTGTGTGTTAGTTCAAAACACAGAGATTAAAATATACAAAAGTGTATAATTTTTATATGTCATTTTACATGAATATGAATCACTGTTTCTCACTCCAAGGGAAGAATATAATATGTCTCTTTGGGACCAAATTACCAAATTTAGTTACTTATAGTTTATTTAACAGTACTGGCAGTAGCTCATACAATAGAGTGTTGAATGGTAGGGTGATTAGTGAATAATGAATTGGAAAGCACGTGAAAGAAATGTCTTGGCCTAATTTGAGGTAATGTCCTGAAATTTAGAACTGTCAAGACAGTCCGTCTCTCAAATATAAAGCACAAATGTTACACATATGACCATGATATTTGTTAATAAAGTGCTGAAGAGAATGTTTGAACTTGCAAGAAACTGACTGAAAAATGACTGGAGAAAGTTGCATAATTTATACTTTTTGTCTGCTAATGCTGAAATCAAGAAGAATGAAATGGGTGAGACAGTGAGTACATAAGTACAGGAGAGATGAAAAATCCATAAGAAATTTTGTGTGGAAATACAGTAGTTAACTGAAGAGACTCCATTGGGGATTTATAGGTGTTGATGGAAGAATACAATTAAAATTGAAATTGGTTGTAAAGATGTTGATTCCTTTCAAATTGCAGGCATTTGTGAGCATGTTCATGAAACTTTTTATTTCATGACAGAAAGAATTTCTTTGCTACTGTGGTGGTCTTTATCAGCTGAGTAATTATTCAGAAGAACCATTATTATGGAGTTAGCCAATCTGGGACACAACCATGTCATTCATATATTCTGTTACAGAAATTTGGCAAGGCTGTGCAACCAACTGATCGGCGCATGTCCGTTGAACGATGTGGGCACTTGTGTGCTGTGGCAATTGCAAACAAGCTGAATGAGGCATGGATATCCCTGTTACCGTATATTCCTCTCTGTTACATATTTGTTTATTATCCAAACATAGGAGATCAGTAAGTACTAGTATAGATCTTGAATTTTTAGTAGAAATTGTTAAAGACAGACTTTGTCAAGGATACCCAGCACATATTGTTCTTAAACTTCTATCATTCACAGCTTGACCAAATAAAACAGCCAATGGTTGATTCATTTGGCCCCCACATACGAAACAAACACTAATAGACACTTCGTAAGTTTCACTAATAGCCATTATTTTGACATTATCACCATACATTCCATTTTTTCTAAGTACAGATTACAATCTTTCCTTGTAATAATATGCAGATACTATTCGGAATGCAACAAGTGGCTGGAACCTTCTAAATAAACAGTTCCCATCCATGGCTACAGTTTCCACACCACTGACCCACTTTTAAACTTTAAATCAAAATTTCACTGAATATATCAACAGTGGAATATTTGTTCTGTGGACAGAGATAGAGAGCACAATGCCAGCTGTTAGTCCCATCTGGCAGTTGAGTGCATAACTAACAGCAACTCTAACTGTTATATAATGGAAGAATGACAGTCCTTAGACTTACATATATACGTACATGTGTATATGTTGTCATTTACTGGAGCCTTGTGAATGTAATTTAATGTCATTAATGACCGTATTGATTAAACTGTGATACAGCCATAAATAAGACATGCACCTCATTTTGAAAAGAAATTAGTGAGAAATGATCCAGTTGTTAGGTAAAAAGAGGCTATACTTCATTTTCTATATAGTTTCATATTGTTTCTGTTTCAGTATGATGCGTCTTTTGGGTCCAAACTTCTTTCTCAAGATACGGGACACACAAGTGAAAATGGAAACCAAAACCGAATAAAAATATACAGATTAATTATGGCATTTACTAATATGGTGGAATTCCCATCTAATGTTCCTAAGTTTTCCCTCGTGTAAAGCTTAATTTAATGTTCCCAGATCAATATTTTCATTGTTAAATTCTGTCCATTTAAGATTCTCCTCATTTTAGTTTTGAAATCCAGTGCTCCATAAAGAAACTTTAAATGGGGATTTTATTGTATTTGCATTACTTGGATAAGGGAAAGAATGAACATAGTTGGTTCTGATTCAAGTCATCCACCTGTTGCTCCTTACATCCCCTCCACTGACACCAGTAGTAAACTGAGAATTCAGAGACAGTACCTGTAGATGGAATGAAAGCCAGAGTACAATTTACAGCTGATGGAAGTGACGGAAGGTATGCAGAAAGTAGGCACCTTATAGATAGAGGGATGGAGGAGAACCTGTGTTCATTCTTTCCCTTATCCATTGTCAACTGTAGGAGGAATTTAGCTAACCTCAGTTTGTGAGACTAGAGGCAATGTATTTTGTACATTAAACTCTTTCACTAGCATTTGAAAAGAGAAGAGAAAGAATGATGATGTTGGAGGTTAATTTAGTTCAGTTCAGTTTTTTTTTTTTTTTTTTTTTTT